ATCTTTACGGATGCAATCAAGCTGAGATGAGGTCATACTGGATTAGCTCGGGCCCTCATCCAGTGACGGATGTTATAAGAAGACAGAAATCTGGACCCAGACGGACAGGGGGAGAAGGCCCCGTGGAGACGGAGGCCGGGGCTGGAGGGATGCAGCTACGATACCGAGAATTTTGGCAACCACGAGCAGCTGGGAGAAGCAAGGACGGATTCCTTTCCCAGAGCCCTCGAGGGAGCCTGCCCTGGCCAACACCTTGATTTGGGACTTCCGGTCTCCAGGACTCTGAACGCATGAATTCCCAGCGTGGCACGCCTCCAGATGGCCACCTGTGTACAACCTTCTTCTTCCTGGCTCCTTGGGGCTCCGTCTGCTTGCCCCCGCCTCCCACCGTGCTGAAATACCCTCTGTTCTTAGTCTTCTACTCACAACTCTCTCCTGGTCAGTGGTGCGTTGGCCACCACAGGGTCCACCAAGTAGGAGCAAAGTGTCGGGTGCAGGCCCGACCAGGCTCTGAGTGGGGAGCTGGAGCCAGGAGTCGAGATGTATAGTGGCAGGCACAGAAAACCCAAGGAGCCCGTCTGAGATGGGCACAAGCCAGCAGAAGCCAGGCCAGCAGGGCTCGCCCACGGTGACAAGGACAAGAGGGTACAGATCCGGGCTGATGGCGTAAGCAGGAAGACACAGGGGGCCAGAGCCGGCGACCGGGGTGAGCGTCTGACAGCAACTGAGTTGTCTCACGCACATCGGAGTGGCTTTGCTTCTCTGATCCTCTTCGGATTCCAGCTCCCTGCGGGAAGCAGCAGGTGGTGGCTCAAGGACCTGGGTCCCTGCCACCCACACTGGGAGACCCAGATCGAGTTCCTGGCTCCTGGTTTTTGGCTCAACTCAGCCCTGGCTGTTGCGGGCATTTGGGGGAATGAACCAATGAGTGGGCGAAGGTCTCACTGCCTTTCAAATACAATAGAAAGTAAATTTTAAAATTTGTTTTAAGGGGCCAGTGCTGTGGTGCAGCGGGTTAATGCCCTGGCCTGAAGCACCAGCATTCCATGTGGGCGCTGGTTCTAGTCCCGGCTACTCCACTTCCAATCCCAGCATCCCATATGGGTGCTGGTTAGAGACCCGGCTGCTCCACTTCTGATCCAGCTCTCTGCTATGGCCTGGGAAAGCAGTAGAAGATGGCCCAAGTCTTTGAACCCCTACACCCACGTGGGAGACCTGGAAGAAGTTCCTGGCTCCTGGCTTCGGATTGGTGCAGCTCTGGTCATTGCAGCCAATGAGGAGTGACCAGTGGATGTGTGGGGAGCAACTTGGACCTAGACTGTTACTCGAATTAAGACTTATTCTATGCATCTGCTCTCCCACAATATGGTGCTGAGAAGGGAGTAACAGCTTCTACACAGCTGCCTCCAGTTCAACCAATAAACTGTAGGACCTGCTCCTGATTGGAGGAGAGCAGCGTACTCGGCGTGTGGGTAGCAGAGTTGGGATTGGTGGAAGAGGACTATAAAGGAGGAGAGAGACAACATGCACAAGGAACATCTATCCGGATAACACCTGAGCAGCCCCCAAGAGAGCCGGCCGGCGGTGTGCCGCTCCCCCGCGGAAGTGGGGAAAGTGGCAGGGGGAACCGCCCTTCCACGGAGGTGGAAGGGACGGTAGCCAACCCGGGAAGAACCAGCAGCAAACCCGGGGAGGGCCGAGCAGACGAAAGAACAGCGCAGTGTCCTGTGTCGTTCCTCCACGAAGAGGGGGAGCGACATAATGGTGCCGTGACTCGGATATGAAGCCTAGGCAGGGTTTAGTGTCGTTCCTCCACGAAGAGGGGGAGCGACAGGATGGAAGACCTTTCTCTCTCTCTCTCTCTCTCTCTCTCTCTCTCTCTCTCTCTCTCTGTGTGTGTGTGTGTGTGTAACTCTGACTTTCAAATAAATAAATAAATCTTTTAAAAATTTAAAAAATTCATTTTACAACGTGTTTTCAGCCGGCGCCGTGGCTCACTAGGCTAATCCTCCGCCTGTGGCACCAGGACACCGTGTTCTAGTCCCGGTCGGGGCGCTGGATTCTGTCCCGGTTGCTCCTCTTCCAGTCCAGCTCTCTGCTGTGGCCAGGGAGTGCAGTGGAGGATGGCCCAAGTGCTTGGCCCCTGTACCCACGTGGGAGACCAGGAAGAAGCACCTGGCTCCTGGCTTCAGATCAGCACAGTGCGCCGGCAGCAGCACACCGGCCATAGCGGCCATTTGGGGGGTGAACCAGTGGAAAGGAAGACCTTTCTGTCTCTCTCTCTCACTGTCTAACTCTGCCTGTCAAAAAAAAAGTGTTTTCAGGAGGGAAAAAAAGAGCAGAACTGGGATTCACCCTCGTTCCAGATTCTGCCACTTTGCTGGGGAGGCATCTTCTCTCTCTCTCTTTTTTCTTTTTTTTTTTTAAAAGATTTGTTTTTATTTATTTGAAAGACAGAGAGAGAGAGAGAGAGAGAGAGAGAGAGAGAGAGAGAGAGAGACATTCCCCAATTGGCTGCAACAGCCAGAGCTGCTCCAGTCTGAAGCCAGGAGCCAGGAGCTTCTGGGACTCCCTCGCAGGTGCAGGGGCCCAAGCACTTGGGCCATCTTCTACTGCTTTCCCAAGCCACAGCAGGGAGCTGGATCGGACGCGCAGCAGCTGGGACTCGAACCGGTGCCTATATGGGATGCCGGCGCTGCAGGCAGCAGTTTAACTCACTACACCACAACAGCGGCCCCAGCGACGTCCATCTGATTCCGAGGCAAACAGAAGAGAAGCCGGGCCGCGACCTGACTCAGCAGCGTGCGCGGAGGGAAAGCCCATGCTGAGCGGGCTCTCTGATCCACAGCATCCCTTATGGTGCTTGGCATACAACAGGCGCTCAATAAAGGATCCCATTACCTGGTCTTCTTCCTCTTCTCTCTTGTCTTTCCGGCTCTGTCTCCGCGCTCTTTACGCTGCCATAGTGCTGACGTCAGCAATCATGGCTGTTCCGTTTTCACCCATTTTATCACAGAATTGGACCAAACTTGTTCTCAGTCCTGAGACAAGCCAGGGAAAGCAGACAGGTCCAGGCCCGCCCCCTGCCGTGCCCCATACCGCCATCAGGGGGCGCCGCGCACCGCTTCTCCCGTGCGCCAAGCTCAGGCTGAGCCGGGAAGCTCTGCGGGGTCTCCCGTCGCTTCCTCGTGCAGGCGAGGAGAGGGAAGCTTTATCCTCTACTGGTTCTGTAGATGAGGAGACCATTTTGACGTTCTTTAATCTCCGGTTAGGATGCCCTGTGCACGATTAGATGGCTTTGCAGAGTAGGTGCTGATTGGAGGGAGCTGCCCTTGGGCTTCTGACTCACTCTACCTGGCGGCAAACAGGCCGGCTCCGCCCCTCCTGCCTCTGCACAGGTGCACCTGTGCCGAGAGGCCTGCGCGGGAATTTGGATCTTTACTGGTAGGATGAAAGCTGATGACCACGGGGCACCCCATGAAAACACACAGAGAGGCAAGAAGCTGCTACTTTGAAATGAAGCCCGCCTGGAGTGACAGTCCAGGGGTGATCTGGCGCACCTGCCCCCCACCCCATTCCCTGTGGGGGAAAGTGCTGGGGAGGGCTGCTGCCAGCCTGCCCCCATACTACCTCTGCCCAGTCCAGAGGGCGGGCTACCCCTGGCAACCCACTCACCCCCACCCCAACCCCTGCCCTCTCCACTGCCTCTGCTCCAGCCCCACCCCCATCTCCCTGCCAGGCACAGCTCCCACCCCACCCCCACCCCTCGGGAAGCTCCCCATCCTCTTGGTTCTCCTTGGCCTGCAAGTCTTCACCTCTCTCGTTCCCGGCTGTTTGTCTTCCAAGGTTCAAGTGCTAGCAACAGCAGCCCGCTCCCCGCCCGCCACGGACGTAAATCTCCCACAGCTTGACACCTGGCCGGAGCTGCTGGAGAGATGACCAGAGGGGCTGCCTCCCCCGCTGTCAGACTGTCAGTGACAATCTGCAGGCAGAATCCACAGCCCCAGAACAAGTCTAAACACTGCAGAGGAGCCGACAGCTGGCACAGGAGTGGCCCTGGACAATATACAAGGGCCACTCTACAAACCACCAAAGCCACTTCTCCTCTGCCTAGCACGGACCCGACAACTCTCCTGAGTGATGCCGGGAAAATATCCAAAAACAGGGCGAGGAGGCCCCCTTACTTATCCCCAGGTTAAAGCAAGACTTCCTTCTCCACCAAGAACCACGGCTCAGAAGTTGCGTCCTGGCCAAGAAACCATCCACGCCTCAGATACCAGAGATCTCGCGTTGAAAAGGAGAGTCATTTCTGGTATGCAAACACCCTAAGACATAAAAACCAGGGCTTCCAGAAGAAAGGGAGCGGCACAGCCCAGGTCCCGTTCCCAGGGAACACCCATATGTGGAAATCCACTGGGCTTATCCTGAGGCCAGATGGACGTTTTATAATGGCAGGGCCCTGATTGCAGCCAGTGCAAAATGTACACACGCACGCTGGACATTGCATGATTTACCGGGCATCCTGTCAACTTGCGGGGACAGCGGCCTGTGTTCATGGGGCTTAAATAAAAGCCCATAAAAACGAGCTACTGATTTCTACGGAAATTTTCTCTCTAAAGGACACTTGCCTGATAAGGTTTGTGAAAGTGCAAACATGGCTCCGGGCATCCAGACACACACGTGTATGGTGCTGTGCGTCCTTGTGGATGCGCCACTGGCGTATGGCAGGGGAGAGATGGCCCAGGGCTCGGCAGGGCCCATGGTCCTGTGGGCACCCTGCTCCAGTGCCGTGTGTAGCACGTCTTGGCAAGGGAGGCAGGCGCACGCTCACTCCCCGTCACCCAGGCAGACTGTTCATTTTGTTTGTTTGATGGGAATTAGGCAGAGGGGGCAAGGACTAGCCTGGATTTACTGCCCCTGTCAGAAGACAGCTCTGTGGAGAAGGCAAGGGAATAAATGGCTTATGGAAGGAAAACAAATGGTCAGAAAAGAGGGCGCAGTCCCAGCAGCACTCAGTAACTTTTATTGATTCCGTTTTTCAAAGGAAGTGAAGGGGTCTCTTATCAAGGTTCATCTTCCTGTGAACCCCCCGGAGGCCCCTCCCCCAACACCCTGCAGAAATCCTTCTGACACCGCTGTGAGGTAGATCAGAGCCGTGCTGTGTCTCAGCCGAGAGCACCTGCTGCTCAGGGACCAAAAAACCCAAACCCAGCTTTGGCCTCCTGCTCTCAGGCTGGGCCCCAGAGCCGGGAGATCAGGGGTGGGTCTCCACAGTTGGGGCAGCAGAGGCCGGGGCCCTGGGGCCCTTAGCACCCAGCACCCAAGCAACCGAGGTGCAGGGTGCCCTGCTGAGAGACAGGAGGCCTGGAACCCAGCTGCCGAGGTAGTAGTGAAGTTCAGGGGTGCGGTTCCTGGGGGGGGGTGAACCCACCGGGGAAGGATCCCGGCTGGTCCCCGTCCCAGGCCTGAAGATCTGGAGTGCAGAGCCGCATAGCCTGGGGCCTCCACGGCTCCTTCCACACAGGGGATCCAGGCTGTCCACGGCTCTGGATCCATGTAGCTGGCTCGGGCTTTGCGTCCTAGGACTCCCCCAGGAAGCCCTACAGCGAGGAGAGCACTCGTCTTGAGGTGAACAGACAGGGAGCGGGGACAGGGACCCTGAACGCGTGTTTAACACGACACAAAAAGCTCAAGCAGCCGCAAAACCCCCACCCCAAACTCCAACCCAGCGTGGGGCGAGGGAGCTGGGCCCCACGGGGCTCAAACCCGCACTCACCGTTCCTCCCCGCCGGCTGGGCTCAGCTTTCACACCGCAAGTGCGTCGTGTCACCTTCGTAGCCACCAAACCTTGGAGAGAAAGCACCGCTGAGCCCTCCTCACCGGGCGGGGAGGGGCTCAGGTCTTCCCTATAAAGGTCCAATGCAGACGGCAGAGGAACTGGGAGAGAAAGCCCAAACCAGAGCGGCATCACGGGCTTGGCATGGCAGCGCGTCCTGGGGGCGCACCTTGGGGTTCAGGGTGAGGCGCACCCCGACCGCCCTCCTTTGCTTCAACCCCAGGGGCTGGATCCGCCGGGAGGAAGGGGCTCTGAACGGGGAGACCCTCCCCAACTCCCCGCTTCTCCTGCGAAACCCCACACCCAAGGGAGACTCCAGAGTTTCTGACTCTCGAGCTGCGAGTTCCTCCGCCCAGGGTGACCCACCTGTGGAGCGGCGGGCGCGGCCTGGACTCGGCGGGGCTGGTCCCGGCCGCACGGGCGCGCGAGGGCTCGGGCGCCCGGGAGGCGGCGGCGCGGGGCTCGGTGCCCCGGCAGCCGCACAGAAGACGGCGGAAGGCGCGGCGAAAGTCCGGGCTGCGGCAGTAGATGAGCGGGTTGAAGGCAGAGTTGGCATAGCCCAGCCAGTTGAGGGCGAGCAGGGCCGGGCTGGGAACCAGCGAGGGGCCACCGAGGGCGCGCAGCACGTTCGCCAGAAAGAAAGGCAACCAGCAGAGGGTGAAGGTGCCCATAATGAGCCCCAGCGTGAGCAGGGCGCGGTGCTCCCGGAGAGGCAGCAGGCGCGCGGGCCTCCGACTGCAGGCGGGCGCAGCGCACGGCCCCGCGGCGGCGAGCGCCTGGGCGCGCGAGAGCGCGGGCGACGGCTCCTCCAGCGGGAAGCGGCCCAGCTCCCCGCGCAGCAGGCGCAGCTGGCGTGTGGCCACGACGAAGACCCGCGCGTAGACGAAGAGCATCACCAGGAGCGGAAGGTAAAAAGACACGGAGGAGGAGAGCAGCGCGTAGGGCAAGTTGGAGGCGAAGGCGCAGCAGCGCGGGTTGGAGTGACAGCGCTGAGCCTCGGCGTCCGCCCCTACGCGCCACCACTGGCTCATGATGGGCGCAAAGGACACCGCGGCGGACACGAGCCACACCAGGAGCACGGCCGCCCGGGCGCGGCGCTTGGTGACCAGCGCGCCGTAACGCAGTGGGTTGGTCACGGCCACGTAGCGGTCCACGGCCAGGGCGCACAGGGTCTCGATGCTGGCCGTCACGCACAGCACATCCACTGAAGTCCACAGCTCGCAGCCAGTGGCGCCCAGGGGCCAGTGGCCGGTCAGCGCCAAGGTGGCCCCCGGCGGCACTACCAGGAGTCCCACCACCAGGTCGGCTGCAGCCAGCGAAGTCACGAACACGTTGGTCATGGTCTGCAGTCTCGGCGTGCAGGCGATGGCCACGATTACCAGCAGGTTGCCTCCCACCGTGGCCAGCGCCAGCAGCGCCCCGGCCAGCGCCGCCGCCCACGGCACCCCCGGCAGCCCACTCGTGTTAGCGGTATTGGGTGCCAGGGTGGGGGTGTCAGGCCACGGGGCCGCAGAGCTGTTCCCGTGAGGCCACGGAGCCATCCGTGCGGCGGGAGGGGAAAGGGGAGGAGGTCTCTCTCTCCCGCTAGGCTCAAGGGAGGAGGCGGCGGGGCGCGGGAGCGACTCCCCCAGCCCGGGCCATCTTCCCTGGTCGACCGGGGACGACGACGGGAACGCACAGCCTCCCCCTCCCCATCCCCCCCACCACACCCCCCACTCCCTCGGTGCCACCGCTGCGAGGGAGGAGCGGCAACGCTTAAAGGGGCAGTGGCCGGGAGTCTCCGGAGGGAACCTGTAGGGTGGGAAGGGTCGCCCAGACTGCCTTGCGGTGATTGGCCCGCCCCTGCCACGGCCAGCCCCCACTGACCCCGCGGCGCCCACCTTCCCTACCTTCGCCGCAGGCTTGCGGGGCTCTGCACCTGCTTCTACAGAGGCCCCGCGGAGACGCTGGGAGAAGCGGAAGGCGACAAGATCCACCGTAAGCAGTAGCTCTCCTTCACGGTGTTTTAAGAGAGCAATCAAGAAAAAAAAAAAAATTAAAGTTAGCAATGGCAGCCAGCCAGTGTGCCCTCGCCCTCATTCCAGCGAAATCTGCCCCCTTTCTTCTCTTCTACGAGAGTCTCCAAAAAGTTCGTGGAAAATATACATCAGGGGAAAATTATGTGTGGATGCGGAGATTGTTTTGCACCCAGAATAATGTTGCAGTTGCGTTTTTCTGTGAGCCTTTCGAAGTTCCCTCTTATTTCACTTAACCTTTCTACTTCAGTGTGCTTAGTTTTTTGTGTTTGTTTATTTTGAGATTTATTTATTTATTCGAGAGGCAGAGTTACAGACAGAGGGTGGGAGAGACACAGAGAGGAATCTTCCATCTACTGGTTCACTCTCCAAATGGCCGCAAAGGCTGGAGCTGGGCCAATCCTATCCGAAGCCAGGAGCCAGGAGCTTCTTCCGGGTCTCCCACGTGGGTGCAGGGGCCCAAGCACTTGGGCCATCCCAAGCTGGATCAGAAGAGGAGCAGCCAGGAATTGAACCGGCGCCCATATGGGATGCCAGTGCTGCAGGCAGAGGCTTAACCTACTACACCACAGCGCCACGCCCTCCAATCTTCTTTAAAAATTTTTATTTTCCTTTCCAGCTGCCGAGGACATCATCGTCTGTCCGAGTCTTTTTCTTTCTTTCTTTTTTTTTTTTTTTTTTTTTTTTTTTTTTTTTTGACAGGCAGAGTAGATAGTGAGAGAGAGACAGAAAGGTCTTCCTTTTGCCATTGGTTCACCCTCCAATGGCCGCCGCCGCTGGTGTGAAGCCAGGAGCCAGGTACTTATCCTGGTCTCCCATGCGGGTGCAGGGCCCAAGCACCTGGGCCATCCTCCACTGCACTCCCAGGCCACAGCAGAGAGCTGGCCTGGAAGAGGGGCAACCGGGACAGAATCCGGCGCCCCGACTGGGACTAGAACCCGGTGTGCCGGCACCGCTAGGTGGAGGATTAGCCTATTGAGCCGCGGCACCGGCCCCAAGTCTTTTTCATGGCTGTCCTGTGTGCATTTCATTGGGCATTTTGCACCCTGCTGCACGGCGCACCTTGGCGTTCTCTGCTCTGCCACTTCAGCACACCTCTGTGGTCTCACTGTCCCTTCTCCTAAACTTCTTCTGTCACAAAGACATTAACAGTGGATGAGTGGCAGGAGCACCTGGCTCAGCAGTTAGGCCGCTGCTTGGAATACCTTGTGTGCCCTATCGGAGGCCTGGCTCCACCTCTGATTCTCACTTACCGCTAATGTGCGTCCTAGGAAGCAGCAGGTGTTAGCACCAAGTAGCTGAGTCCCTGCTGTCAGGAAAGAAGAGACAGGGTTTGAAGCCAGAGCCAGACCAGGTGTTTTGAGAAGAATAAAGCCTGGGAGGGGCTCACTCCCAGGTGAGCTCAGGGCAGAGAGGGGGAGCCCCTCCCTCACAGACCAGCACTTTCTGTAGTACAGAGTGGAGGGAAGGGGCCTGGGGGTCTGAGATAAGTGGGCTGCGGAGATGGAGGGAGAGCTTGGGCTCCTTCTAAAGGTCCTGCGAGATCACAGTGTGAGCTGGGAGGGGTTTGGGCTGAGGCTGAGGCTGGGCTCCAGCGGAGCTGCTAAGCTGGGGGAGGGGACTTGGGAGGAGTGGGGAGAGCTCAGGCCGATGGCTGGACTTTTCGGAAGTGCTGTGTCCAGCGGTCCAGGCAACACAGGGCTGGTTGGGGCAGGGTGGGGCTGTATCAGCAGGGCAGAGCAACGGGGGCTGCTTCTGTCATGTAGGTGAGAGGTCAACGCCACTCTGGGGCTTTTTGTCCTTGCTCCACTACCTGCCTTCCACATGGTGGTGGGGGTGGGGGGCAGATGGAGCTCCAGGCTCCTGGCTTCAGCATGGTCAGAGCTGTGCCACTTGGGAAGTGCATCAGCAAATGGGAGCGCTCTCTCTCTCTCTCTCTCTCTCTGCCTTTCAAAGAAGTTAAATAAATAAATAATTTTTAAATTAGTAAATGGGTTTGAGATCGAGGCTTGCCCATCATCACCCCCAACTATCCTCAGATCTTCCCCACCCCCGACTGTGGAAGGTTTGATGTAGGCGGGCATACAGGATAAAATTGATTAGGTTTGTGAGCTGGAAGACCACGCCTTCACCAGGCCCGTGTGTGACCTCACGCTCCTACCTGACCACGCCTGTGTGCCCACCGGCCAATCAGGTTAGTTAACCACTCCCCTTTGGAAGTGGATTAAAAGCCCTGGACATGATGTGCCCAGCCCTTTTTCCTTCTTTTTGGCCTTTTGCCATTGCGGCCTGTGCTGCCCCATGCTTCCTGGCCTAGATGCTCTTCCACGTGGCTGGTTCCTGGTACTTGGCATTGTTAGGTAGGAAGTCAGATATGAGCTTGTGTGTGTGTGACAAAGGTCTAAAGAAAAGACATCTATGTCCAGCATATGCATCTGCATCTCAAAGTCATCCTGACAATGTTCAGGGGCAGCCCAGTGTTTGCATCATGCCCTGTCCCCTTCTACCTGATAACCTGCCAGGTGGTGGTCCCCACCCCTTCTACCTGACAATCTTCCACAGTCTCCCAGATGCAGCCCAGTATCTGCATTCAAATACCCTTCTCTGGATCCTAATTCTCCAGGGGGTCTTGCTCATCCTTCCTCTAAACTCAGGATGGCCCCAGCTAGGCTTCCTCCTGTCTGATACCTTCAGGGGAAAACTCAAACAGGAGCTTCTTAATATTTACAGCCATAAAATCCTTTGTTTCAGGAGGAGATGTGTGAACACAAAGACCCATCTCCTTAAAACACCCCTCACCTCACCTCAACCGGACTGCGCGCTCAGCCCTCTGCCTCTCTGCTGAGCCGCCCACCTGGCCTGCCCAGGTGTAATCTCTCCACTCAACCATGTAACCTCGCTCTCCCCCACTCCCGTCCAAGTGACTGGGCTCTCTCTCTCAGGTTCTGTCTGGAGAGGTGCCCATCCGTTCTTATGGATGGATGTCCCTGCCCTAATAAACTTTGTTATTTTACTTTCCACTACTCTGTCTCACGCCTGAATTCTTTCTTGCGGGAAGACCAGAAGCCTGCCATTCACCGGTAACAGTATGAATCCAGACTTACCTTTTAGATAGGGCCCTCACTCTCCTATGCATTTCTCCCACTGAAGAAAAGCTGCCTCATTCATCTATGCCAGTATTCAGAATTCTCTGAATATTGGGCAAGAGCACGCACAGGCTTATTAACATTGGGAATTTGATAATAAGCACATGATGGTGTTGCATGGCACCCCATATTCTAATATAAGGTTCACTCTGCTTCCTGGAAGATTTTATTCATGAACACTCAAAAACCAGAAGGCACTGGGACCGTGTCATGGCGTATAGGTTAAGCTGCCGCTTGCGACACTGGCATCCCATATTGGAGCTTTGGTTCAAGCCCCCACTGCTCCACTTCCAATCCAGCTGCCTGCTAATGTGCCTGGGAAAGAGGTGGAGGATGGTCAAGTGCTTGGGCCCCTGTACCCATGTGGGAGACCCGGATGGAGTTCCCAGCTCCTGCTTTGGCCTGGCCCAGCCCTGGCTGTTGTGGGCATTTGGGGAGTGAAGCAGTGGAGGGAAATGCATGCTCGCTCGCTCGCTCTCTCTCTCTCTCTCTCTCTCAGGCTTTCTTCCAGATAAATACATAAATAATATCAATCTTTTTTTAAGATAGTAATTTTTTGGAGTAAACGAAGTTCATGTGGCTATTTTTTAAAAACTTACTTAATTATTTGAAAGTCAGAGTTACACAGAGAGAGGAGGGGAGAGAGAGGGAGAGAGAGAGAGAGGTCTTCCATCCACTGGTTCACTCCCCAGATGGCCGCAATGGCCGGAGCTACACTAATCCGAAGCCAGGAGCCAGGAGCTTCTTCCCAGTCTCCCGTGGGTGCCAGGGGCCCAAGGACTTGGGCCATCTTCCACTGCTTTTCCAGGCCATAGCAGAGAGCTGGATCGAAATGGAGCAGCCAGGACTCGAACTGGCACCCATATGGGATGCCAGCACTGCAGGCGGCGGGTTTACCCGCTTCGCCACAGCACTGGCTCCATAAATCTTTTTTTTTTTTTTTTTTTTTTTTTTTTTTTTAATCAAGAAGATATTGAACTGAGACGTGGCATCTTGGGTGTATGGAATGACAGGGGACGCCTGGGAAGTGTCACCCAGCCCCATCAGAGGGCTGCCTCATCTGGAGACACCCTGAGCCACCTTCCCCTATCCCTTGTCTCATCAGACTTCTGAAGCTGAGCTCTGGCAGCCCGAGGTCTCCCCACGTCTAAACTGCTTCCTCTCAATTTGGGTGTGGGGCGGCGAGGCTGCACCACAAGCCCCTGCCCGGTTCAGGCCTATCGGGGCCTGGTCCCTGAGCTGTCCACTTCCTCCCCTGAAACAATGGAGGGGAATCATCATGGGAAAATCCTCCAGGGCCATGCCCCAGCCCTGTCTTTCAAAAGAGCATTGTATGGTCGCAGGCTAAGCAATCCCTCTGGGAGGCTGAGCCGGGGGTTGGGAGCTAGAAAGGTTGGAGGAGGGGAGTAAGAACCTAAAATTAACCCTGAGGAACAAGACCCAGCCTCATCTCCCGGGGACCCGGCAGCTCACTCATGAGCAGAGGCTGTGCGCCGCGCCCACGCAGGTGCGTGGATCTGTAGAGATGCCCGTGGCGGGGGCGGTGAGCAGGAGGTCACTCCCGCCCCCTCCCGCAGCCCCAGTCATG